AATTCATCAATGATACTATTTTGAGCTGAAAAATTGTTTTTAACTACAAGTACTGGAGGAATTGATGAATATTTTTCAAAATTGCTTTGATTATTATATGGATTAATGACTGTTATAACGGCATCAGTTACATCATTAAAATCCAATGTATCATCATCTTTAGAGTGTTTGCCCGAAATTAAGCTGCGTCTAACTCGTTCTTTTTCAATCTTCAGTTGGTCTTGCCATTTTGAATTAAGTTTAATAAGATTAGGCGTTGCAGAAACGAATGGTACAATTTGTCGATCGATGACTGTATTTGAAACATGTTGGTCATGTTCTAAAACAAATTATATATGTATTTTCTGAATGATATGGATGATAAAAAATTAATACTTACGATTCATATGATTAAACCGTCCAACCTTTTCCACGGCTTCAACAGTCTCTCGAATATACACATTTTCTGTTGATTTTTTCGTGGCATTAATTGCAGCAGCTGTAAATTCGTCTACATTTCCTATTAATTGAATTAAATCGTCGATATCATCTACTTCGTATTCACCATCAGCACCTTGATTTGATGGTAAAAATGCAGGATCAATCGAATCATTATCGACCTGTGCTTCAGCAATAACTTGAAGTAAATGTTCATCACGGTCCTTTTTACATTCATGTAAGAGCAAGCTGAATATTTTCTATAATCTTCCACGAGTGAGCAGAAATAAGATCTTTTCGAGATTCAAATGCATCTTCCCATGTTTCATTGACGTCACAAAGATCAATTGCATTGCGCCATGGTACAAAAAGTGTGAGAAGTGCTCGATTGTATCGTTCACGAGTGTCATCACGATCTTGTCGAGGAATTTGAGGACCATAAAGAACCGGTACATGAAGTTGACTGTATTTCATCAGTATATGTGTTGCTGCTTGAGGATGCTCTTCTTGAAAAGAAAAACGTTCATTAGATGGTCGACCTTTTTGGTTATCTTGTCGTTTTTCTGTCGTAGAAGCGTTTGATAAGTATTTCAAATCTGTTTCATTGATTTTTTTCCTATAAAATGTACCGACAAAATCGTATAAACATGTGTTGTTGAGGTTGTCTGAACGATATTGATAATCAATGCGTGTATTAACAAGTATAAAATTGTTTTTATCTTCTGTCGATTGAACTTGGAAATGTTCTTCGTCGCTATTTTCATCATTAATTATTTCATCATCATACACATCTTCATTG